ATGAACAGCTTCATACAATCCCATACGTTCTATTTTGACACATAGTTACCGCCTAGCGTTTTCGCGTCCGTGCGAACGCTCGCTAATAGACATCAAAGAGAGACTGAACAGTTGTGCGATAGTTTCAAGGGTGCTCTTAGGTTCAACATTAGTGGAAAAATTCGTATATAAATTTCGACACGTGTAGTACACGTGTTTTGTTCGAAGGTGAATTTGATATATCGATAATCGTAATCAGTTCATTGTCGGCACAACTCTGATGACTCTCGATGACTTGTAGTGTTCTGTAATCCACTCTCCCGCGGCGGATAAGATACACCACAATGTTGCAATCTTCATAACAAACAAAAACATTTGGAAACTTTCAAGAAACCTCAGCAAAGGGAAAAGGAACATCTATGGTTGAAATCTATTCAATTATCATATAATACATTGTTTATTAAAATACATTGTATGGGCATGTTATAAGGCGGGATGAATCGCATGTAACAAGGAGAACGTAGTCATGAGTGTGAAAGGTGACATGATAAAGAAGGGAGTGAAGACTGAGATGACGTCAAAAACCTGTTGCGCCGACACTATGGGAGTAGGATAAGAAGGAAGATGATGATGAATACATTGTTTATTTTATTGTTCGATTGATTTTGAGCGTTAAGGCATCGGAAACATTTCTATTACTGTAGACGATAGTTTGGGCGATTATTTAATTGCTTTACTGCGTCTTTTTCAGACAACTACCTGATACGAAAGTAATAAAACATTCAAGTAGGCACTTGATATCTCTTATCAGGGATATTCTTAATGCCGCCAAACTACCGCAGATACAAATAATAATAATGTACAATGTTTGCTGAACAAAATGATAAAAGTAAATTGTAAAAACAAAGTAAACATAGACGAAATACAAATACAGACAGTTGTTTTAACTTAACTAAATGATTGCAAACATATAACTCTTTAAGACAGATTGCAAACTAACGAAGTTAACAGTTTCACGGTGACATGTTGCTCACCTATTTTTGGCAGCCATAGCATTGAACACGTACTGCGTACTGATGGTACCACACCAGAGTATCGGCACCATAATAATTATCAATATCCTTAGCTGGTAGCGACCAACTGGACCCACTTCCTCCAGAAGTTGGCCCACGAGTGTTGACTCTTTGTGCTGACCCATCTTGGGTACAAGCCATTTCAATTTAAACTAATGCTAGTTTCACACAAGAGCATAACAAGCACGACAATAATGTTTACAGAGTAATGCAAGTCACACACGTTAGGCTTTTCATGGCAGTTTCACAAGCCAGCTATCTTGTGGTACAAAACTGTCTCTAAAACTCGTAGATGCACAAATCGTGCCTATTGTTGTTCAAACAGAACTGTGCTGACTGCTTCCACTCAAAACCTAAGTTCTATACCACTTTGCACCTTTTTTGCACACTATACGGACAATGGGACAAACAGTCATCAATACAACTTACACAAAAAGCATTAAATACACAATCTTAAGAAACATCTAGAATGCAAACCACTACAGTTTGGTACGTGATTTAATTTCTATTAAACACGTGTATTGAATGGTTACTTTTCTGACAGACATTGCTTAATTTCAATGTCATTTTACAGACGTCTCTATTTACTTCAATGATATATTTTTCAATTATGTCAAAGAAGGTTCAATAACGTATTTGTACTTAAAATGCTTATGGTGAAAACCCTATAATCTATTTTGTAAAAAGGTTTTGTCACCCCTAATGTTAAGACCTTCGGTGAAGATGACTGATCAGAATATATTAATGTTTTTGCTTTAACTGTGATAAAAATATTGTTCTATGTGTTCTTTTTGAGGTTAACATAATTTTAATGGTGTACTTAACCTAAATTAACTTAACTAATTACTTGAGCTTAACTAATAAGCATATAGCGACAGTTTCACACTTAAAGTGGAATTTACAATACAGATATAAAATAACTTTCGCACCTGACTCCGTTAAAAGGATATACATATGTATGTTCTTCTAACCTGTATGTTCTTTCAGCCTATCCTCTACATCTATGCCATATTTCATCAAGATCCGTTCTGCAGTTTAGACTACAAACTTTAAAAAACATCCATCTTTGCCATATATTAGTAAGATTTGATAAAAACAACTAAAAAAATCACAACTATGGAAAAATCAATTGAGGTATACAAATGCTATGCTGTTCTAATTATTTTTGTTAGTTTAATATCAATTTTTGTATTGGCTTACTTGAAAAACAATGTAAGGAAGCGTATTTCCTTTTATTCCCTTTATTTTTTTTGTCAAGAGTATGACTATATATTTTTGTATAGTGAAAATTGCGGTAAAACATTGTAACGATAACATTGTTAAACAATAAGATGAAAGCTATAAACCAATGATTGCTTTTTGTTCTAACCGTTGTTAATAAACCTCAACTGTCAATAATTTACCCGGAACGTAATCTTGGATTATTTTGATAAAATCGTCTGCGCGGAATTGAAAAAAAAATGGTAAGTAACCTGTTTTCTTCGTCTATGTACTAAATCTGTGCTAAACACCGAGATTAGTTAAGCCGTTTTAAATATATTAAATGTACATTCATCCTTTATTATATTAGTATGATTTAAATATTTGTTACAATTATCGCCACCTGAATAAACTCGAAAATTAAATCGAATTTCGAAGGTTCCAGATACTGTCAACCTCCTGAAAGTGCGCTTCGTCTGGCTGTCCGTCTGTTTGTCTGCAGAGAGCGTCAGCTGCCAGCAACGTGCGTATTTGCTCAGCTTTAAATTAGAATTAAAAATAATATAGCCATTGTTCTTCCAGACTATCCTCTACATCTGTGACAAATTTCAGATAGATTTAGGCTACAAACTCTAAAAAAAATACATCCATCTAAACTTTCGCATTTATAATATTAATAAGAATAACTTATTGCAATGTAACATTACAAATCTTATCATAATTATTAATTCAACATGATTATTTGCAAAATTTATAGATATGCCTATTTATCAAATAGTTACAATGTCGAATTATAAGCCTATGGCTTTCCGGAGCGTCGTTGGCTTAGTGGTTTAAGCACTTGACTTGTAATATACAGGTCTTGGGTTCGAATCTCGCCGCCATGTACTAATGTGATTTTCGATTTTTCGAATTTTCATATGTACATAATTTACCCGACGTTCTTACGGTGAAGGAAAACATCGTGATGCAACCTGCGCATATCAGCGAAGAAAATTCAAAGATATGTGTGAAGTCAACCAACCCGCACTTGGCCAGCGTGGTTGACTATGGCCTAGTCACCCTAACTTTAGGGTAGGCTCCGAGCCCCTCGGTGGTGACGTCTCGTATAGTGAGCTGGTGATGATGATGATGATGGCTTTCCGGATATGAACATATAACAGTAATCAAGTCGGACCAAAAAGCGTGAAACGATTTCCTTCTCTGTTGCACTTATATTTTTTATATTATCGTTTTACTCAGTCACACCATATCAAAGCCAAAAATAAACCAAATTAATGTTTTCTTTAGAGTTAAAGAATATTTTATTACAATTTAATTGTAGAAAAAGATAATAAGGTAATAACATTACGAACCCGAGCTTCGCTAATCTATCGCCACAGAGTATTAATAAAGTGTAATTAACTTAAATCTAATGTAACTAATATAATAAATGCGAAAGTTTAGATGGATGGATGGATGGCTGGATGGATGGATGTTTGTTAGAGTTTGTAACCTAAACAGCTGAAGTGATCAAGGTGAAATCTTGCATAGACGTAAAGGATAGCCTGGAAGAGCACTTGCTTTTGTTTTTTTTATTCCGCACGGACGGAGTCGCGGGGAAAGCTAGTATAACCTAATTGTAACATGACTATTCGTATATTCACGACTGCTATCTGCTTTGGTCTATGATTGGTACTGAGCAGGAAATCTTTTATAAATCAATGGAGCGTACAAATAAAGAAATATATTGCAAAAGTGTCGCTTCCTGTACGCTCATTGTCAATGAAAAGAGGGTTTATCACGAATTTAAGTGAGAACGTTCTCGTAAAAGTATTAAATTAGTGCAGCGCAAAGACCGGGCGAAAAATCTGCCAAGAAATCTCATACAAATCGCCGATGACGTTACGAATACGTTCTCACAATGTCACGCGAATACATGTGATAGACCCCGTCGAATATTTGATTAGATAATATGATCGTAGTCGTTACGATTTTAGAGAATATTTGTTAGAATAGTCATTTTTTCTAACAAAGATACAATATTAGATAAGAGATAGATATAGTATTTCAGATAACCTAAAGATATTTAAGGTTATTCTGTGTTAAAATGACGCAAGATTTTTTTTAAATTTTTAAGATTACTTGGAAAGTAGCATATTTTTTTTAATGATGAAACTAGCCTTTGCCCGCGACTCCGTCCGCGAGGTATTATAAAATACAAAACTGAATAGTGTATGTGTTCTTCCAGACCAACCTCTACATCTATACCAAATTTCATCAAAATCCGTTCAGCTGTTTAGGCTACAAACTCTAACAAACATCCATCCTTCTAAACTTTCGCATTTATAATATTAGTATGAAGTATGATTAACTGTCGTTAACACTTTTACTTTTAAATAAAGATGAATCTGTAAAAATATGAGCCACATTTCTTGTAGCTTCGATTCAGTTTTCAAATAAATGTCTCCCTATATTTATTTATGTATTACACGTGGTTGGAGGTAAATTAGACATTACAAACAGAGCAGTTAAGCGCTAACAACCAATTTACATACACGTGCAAACATCTCGTCTGTGTATCGGAATTTTTTAAACAGAAATTGGTATTTATTCTTTGTGTAATTATTGTACATTATTTAATAAGCGGACAGTTTTCCTTGATAAAGTCACAATTAACATCGACTCAAGAAATGTAGCTGGTATATTAGTTTTTCCTCGTAAAAACTATGTTAAAAAGCTATATTATTTTTTGTTCAATAACCTTATTTTCGACCTCAAACCTTTTAAAGTAAAAAGTTAAATGATGTGTCTGACCATATTGACCTCTGATTCGATTGCCACAATTGGTATTAAAAATAAAACATCAAAATAAATTAGTATTTATTATGTTTAAGACGCCTGCTGTGGTAATTATACAAAACCTAACATTACAAAAGCTTACACAATAACGATGTTTATTAACCCTTTATTATTATCTTCCTTCTACCTATAAATAAAAAAAACATCGTTTGCATTTATTTTGGGGGCAAACATTATGTTTGCACAATGACATGAAGTTTATATTTAGTATTTCGACTTTTTGCCTCAACTTTGGCCCTGCAATCACTACCATTGTCTCTGGTTCAACTAGTTAATAAATTTTACAACAATAAAGCAACAGATAAAACAATTAAATTGCACTCCAGATTTTAATACGATTTTTTATTGTAAACTCAGTTTTTACATCAATATCCATAAATAAGAAAACCTGTAGAAATCACATCATATACTCGTACTTCATAATAATATTATAAATGCGAATGTGTAGATGGATGTTTGTTAGAGTTTGTAGCCTACACGGCTTGACAGATTTCGATGAAATTTGGCATAGACGTAGAGGATAGTCTGGAAGAACACATAGGCTATTCAGTTTTGTTTTTTTTATTCCACGCGGATGTAGTCGCGGGCGAAAGCTAAAGTAATATAATTTGCTTTATATTATTACAGGAAATACGAATTCTTTCTACAATAACTACTGTCCGTTAATTACCTATATGACATCAATGTCGTATCATTAGAGATATGCAAAACATTATCTTAATTTCTTTAATCTATTTAAATCCATTTGATTACTGATTACGAATGTTTAGAAGGATAACATTTTGCATAGAAACTAATATCCATCTGATATTAGATCAAATAATACTTAAAAGTAATTAAAAAAACATAGTGATGACTACCATAAGATTTAGGCATCTAACATACTCGAGTCCCTCGGTTGGAGCGTTTTTTTCTTTATTTTTTATAGGTCCTTTGGTTCTTAGAACATGTCAGTCCCATAATCTTATAAAAATACTTAAACATATAAATATAAACAGAAGTACAAAAAAGAAAGATAATAAATGATATTTATAGCATTTCATTACACTCCTGTACTTCTCTTTCTCTCTCTCTCTCCCTCTCTGGAGAAAAGAAAGAGAGAAAGACAGAGTCACTTTAGAGAGCATATTTACATATTAATATAGGGCCTTCAGCACCAGCAAATGGGAACTGTTGATACAAAGTCTGCAGTATATAGAGATATATCCCCCCTTTTTACAATTAGGGGGACTACTATAAAATCCTTACAATGTATCTGTATTCTCATTGATCGTAAATACAATGTTTTTACATGAAAGTTTTTAACAAAGGACTTTTATTTTAAATTCATACATATTTGACTGAAACTGGATGGTATCTAAGCACAGAATTAAGACAATATGAGACAGACAGAAACAATAAATAAACTCACCTATAATGTACATCGGATACAGCGAAAATATACTGGCTATTGTAAAGTGCGGAAAAAATTACAGCAACCGAAACTAAGCTTA